CTATTTCTGCCATTCTTTTATGACTTGGAACATTCTTCACTTCTAGCACTCTTCATTTTTATTCTCCAACTCAACATAATTATGGTTAAAACTTTCTTATATTAAATACTCCATTTTCAAAATACTCTATTTTCTCTCTAGTAATTGGACCCAGAGTAAGAGAAATATGTGGATCAGACAAGGGAACTGAGATTTGAAATGACCATCAACACTGCAGTGGCCAAAAGGAGCTGAAAGTGCTCAGTGAATGCATTTGTTAAAACAGCTCAAAGATACTAGAATTTGAAGTCATGTTTAAATTTTATTTCTCAATTCTTTACAGATGATTTTAGTCTATGATTTTTTTTGCTATAATTGTTAATTAAAACTAACTGTGATATGTATTACTATACACTTGTTGTTGTGTACTGCTGATTTGGAACTGACCCATAGTTGATCCTCCTGTGGGTTTTCAGAGGCAGTTAATAGCACAGGAGGAGATTGTCCATCCTTCTCCCGCAGAGCAGCTGGTGGCCTCAAACCACATTCTTTTGGGATTGCAGCACAGCTTCTTGCCACTAGGCCACCAGAGCTCCCTTATTACTCTACTTATAGAATGTATGTCCTTCTTTAAAGTCAGAATGTATGTCCTCCTTTAAAGTCATAAAAAGGACTATTATTTAGAGTATCAACTAAATCATTAAATTTTAATATAATTGAAAAGTTTGTATGTTTATATATTTTGAAAAAACACTAACAACAGTCTTTTGAGATATTTGCCATGATAACATCCCTTGTTACTCTATCTTAAAATTTTATGTTATGGGAAATAAAAACAATGCTGTTTGTTCTGTATAGTGATTAATTTCTTATAGCCCCACCTTAAGTGGTAAATTATTTATATAGCAGCTCATTTCTTAGTGCCCTCATTAAAGGGAAGGATAATAATTTGTGAGGATACTTCCTTTAGTCAAAAATGATACACTTACTGGATTACAATCCTACTTTAAAGGACTGACATTTTTCAATTTTGCTATTTAAGAAAGGGTTATCTGTATATTAACTCTGGACATTAAATATGAGAAAATGAACTATTTTTAATTAATCAGAGCTATTTTATACTCTCTACGGCCTCAAAATAGGAAGGTACAGGGGTTTCTTCCTATCGTGATAGATGGTAAAAAGACTGAGATCGTAAACAGCTTTAGTTTGTTCTACTCCACAATCAACAATATTGGCACCAGCAGCCAGGATATTAAAAGACATATTGTTTTGGGGAAATCTGCTGTCAGAGACCTCTCCCGAGTACTGAAGAGCAATGATGTCAGTCTGGAGACTAAGGTGTGCCTGATACAGGCCATGTTCTTTGTAGTCACTTGCTAAGTGTCAGAGAGCTGGAAAATTACTAGGGATGATAGAAGGAGAATTGATGCCTTTGAGCTATGGTATTGGAGAAGAATATTGAATATACCATGGATTGCTAAGACAAAGAACAGTTTCATCCTGGAGAGGGCTAAACCTTGGAGGCAAGGATTCTGAAGCTTTGTCTGAGATATTCTGGACATGTTTCAAGGAGGGACCAGTCCTTGGAGAAGGATGTCATGTTTGGGAGGGTAGAGGGACAACACAGGAGAGGAAGATCCTCAATGAGATGGATTGATTCAGTGTCTGGGGTAGGGTGGGTATGTCAGAGAAGGAGACTGGCTCAAGATAAAGCAGGGTTCAGAGCTATTGTACATAGGGTTGCTATAAGTCATACTTAACTGGTAGTCAACATAGCAACAATAACATCCTAAAAAAGAGAGAATGCTGTTCTTTTTTCCCTTAGAAAGGACATCAGTAGCCAGAGTGGACTATGAAGTAGAAGCTACCCACAAAAGATGACAAGTAACAAGAGTAGTGTTGATCCCATAAAATACATGACATTTCTCTACTGGCTCCAGACTATACAATTCTCATACTCACTGAGATGCTTGAAACTTCCACAGGGATTTAATTATTATTGTTTTAGATTTTCTCTAATTGGTACCTAAGACTAACCTAAATATGAGGTGGTTGTTGTTGTTAAGTGCCATCAAGTCATAGGTGTCTCATAACAACCCTATGAACGAAAGTCCTGGACAATTCCTGCATAACTTTCGTCCTTTCTCCAGGTTCATAGAATTTCCAGAGGCAAGCTATTGTGGAAGTGGATGCCACTCCTGCTTCCAAGCTTGATTTAATTAGCGAGCTTCACCAAACACTGTCCATTATGGGTAACAGTATTCAGCTTCACAGCAATCACGAGTTACCTCTGTACCACGGTTACACGACCTTTGGCTTGGGAATATAGTAGATTTTAAATAATTATTAGCATTAGAAAACAAGACAGTAATAATAATTTCTATATAAAGTTCAGTTATGGAGTAATCAACAATTGAATGCACTTATTATTAAAACTTCACATATAGCCATTCATGAATATAATCATTTGGCTGGTGGTTGAATATCTTATAATTTAAGCCACCCAAGGATATCTGAAAAGAATCAGCTCTATTTATTTATATAGTAAATGATCAACAAAAGTGGTGCTGTGTCATAAATACTGATGCTTAACACGTTGCCGCAAGTACGGCAAACGTGTTTCTAGGTAAGGGTGTCAATTTAAAAAGTTAACAAGTTAACTGCTATTGGCTGCTGGGGTGTTGACATTAACACATGGAGACCTTATGCAGAGCAGAATGAAACCCTGTCTGGTCATGTGTTGTATTCACAATTGTCATCATGCTGGAGTTTGGTGACGTGGACGCTGTGCTCGTTCATTTTGCTGAGGAATTCCTTTGGTTCACTCTTCACAGCACGTCAAGTCCCCCAGTGGCTGATCCTTACCAAGGATGCGTCTACAGCAACTGACTTGAACAATATTCTTTTGTGATCCATAAATTTTCACTGGCTAATTTCTGATGTAGAACACCAGGCTTTTCTACCTTTTCTGCTTTCATTTGGAAGTGCTTCTTGAAGCCCGTCCCCCTGATCTAGGCCTTGAGATACTGGTGGCACAGCTTTGAGGATGATAGAAATGCACAACCAACCACAGTTGAGGAAGACTGACAGCGAGCTGGGATACTTGTTACCTTGTTTTCTTCAAACTGGTGAGAAATAAACCAAGTGTTCCCTTTATAAGTAATCAAAATAAAAGTATCTTTGGATTTCCTTGTTATTCTGATTAATACTATTAATCTGTTATTAAAAATGTGTTGTACAATTTAAGAACAATTGGGAACATATGGAGAAGAATGCAAAAAGAACATAAGGGGGGAAACGCAATACCACATATATTGCACACTGGTTCTTTTGTGAATCTTATGAAGCAAAATGCCAGCAGGTATAAGAAGGAATGTCTCTGGGTGGGGGGCTTAACACTAACATTTGGTATATTAGGTGTCTTTATTCAAATTCTTTGATTTTGAAAATAAAAAAAAAATCAAGAAAGGGTAGAGATAGAACAAATGATTAAGACATTGAGTAAATGTCATATGCAGATTAAGTAATTTTTCCTTCTTATTTTTAAATGCAACTAATTATCTAAAAAGAATAAGTACTGCCTACATTGGCATTTCAATGAACCACTGATTCCTAATTACAAACTCAATTACTGAAGTAATTGGGAAAATTTCAGGAAATATTAATAGTCGAAATTAGTAGTTTAAATGTACAATTTCTATGATGCTTGGGAATTCACCAATTTTATCACTTTTTAAAATCAGGTGCTTTACCAGTTAACTTATATCAGCAAATGGAGAATTTATCAAATAATCCAGAACTAAACCAAGCTAACCTCACTGAATCAGGTGCATCTTATAGCAACACCACTGTAGAACACAGTTTCTCAGGCTGTAAAACTTCAGGGACGCACAATGTCTCATCTTTCTCCTGTGGAATGGCGGGTGTGTTTGATCCATCCACCTTTTGCTTTACAGTTTGCTTCTTAACCTCATGCCACCAGAGTTCCTTGTAAAGTAAAACTATACAAAACATAAAAGACTCTCAGCCAGTGAGATGATTCCAACTCACAGAAACCATCATATTTCTGGGATACAAATCTTGAGAGGAGGAGATTGTTCATCCTTCTCTTGCTGGTAAATTCAAATTGCTAGAGACATGCAGCCTTTTGTTTGCAGCAGAGAATGCAAAAGATTAGGTTACCAGAGCTCCTACTCATAAATCAAACAGATTTACTGATAAACACATGTTAAATAGGAATGCCACTGGTGAGTCAGCTGGATGAAAGAGAGAGTTACTCCCATTGTTCAACAAAGCCAAGCCTGGGGTCTAGTGAATATGTAATTGTAGTATGTAATTTAGTGACTCACTTTTTGGTCCATGTAGAGTAGCTGGACCTTCTCTTAGTATTATTTTAGGATCCACTGAAAACTTTACTCCTGGGATATTCCCAAGGCTACCCAATTAGGTTTTCAGTTCAGCCAGCCTTGATTCCATGTACCAACCACTTCAGTCACTTCTCAAGTGTTTTTTTCTAAAGCAATTTTTAATTACTCTGAGTCACAGAAGGAGAGATATTTTTATTTAATAATCAGAGTGATATAACTGTCATCTCCTTATAAGTCACAAGTCCAATCTCCTTGCTATGATTTTTTTTTTACAGTGGCCATGTAAGACAGAATTAACATGTGTGCCTAAAGCTGTGAATCTTTACAGAAACAGACTGTCACATCTTTTTTTCCACGGAGCAATTTGTGAGTTTGAATCACTGGTCTTTTGATTCACAGTCAAATTCTTTAACCACTATGCAAGTAGAGCTCTTTGTGAGGGACATGTCTGACCTTATTGGAATTGATTTTTTTTTTGTTGTTGTTGTTGATGCTGTTGATGGGGACATTTCCCATTTGTGGAGTTGGGAAAGGTCAGATATGGCCATTCCCACACACATTTGCTACTTTTTACAAGGAGACAGTAGAACTGATTAGAAAGATTAGGATTGGTATTTTCATTCGATAGTCACTGAGTGAGAAAGCACTTACCTGGGTAATACCTGGCCAGGCCTGTAGCACTGCCAAACACTTGCCACAGCAATGTAGGGTCTTCTTCTCGATTTTTTTTGAAAACATCATCTAAGGCACTTGTCCAGTTGAGCTCATTTAACACAATTGTGGCTAAAAAAAAATAGAAAAATAAATTCATTACCATTTGAAACAAATAATTGCATGTATCTTCATTGACCTGAAAAACAATATTACCTATTTGGGTTGCCTTGTAGAAATACAATAGAAATATACTAAATCAATGGTTATAGAAAAGTGTTAGAAATTATTTCTTCAAATTAAATTCTGCATATGACCATGAGGCTGTCTTCCATTACAACTTAGTACAAAAGCAACTTAATTTATTGAACAAGGCATACCACGAGACTATGGCTTAACAAGCACAACTTTCAGTTACTTTTGATGATTCTCTGTGACATACTAAGATAATTTGGTTGTTACCTAAGTTAATAAAAATAACTTTGGAATAGATCACCAACTACTCGTGTGAAAGTTCAAACTGGAGTGGAAGAAAATGGAAACAAACTCACACCCAAAATATGTCTTTAGACCCATTCCATCTGAATTTAAAAACTATATCAACAATAGGAGTGTATGAGGATATTATCATAGAGCAGATTATGTTATGACTTGATACAGTGTCCCAATGGGTACATGTGTCTAGAAGAGAGGGAGTCTTCAGGAAATAAAATAATTAAAGTTTTAAGAAAAAAACCCAACAAGACTGAATAGATATTTATTGCACACTGGGCTTTGAATACCTTGTAAATGCTGCAAATGCAAAAGATACCATTTAAAGACTGGAACAAAATATACTGTATCCATTTGGGCCACCAACTCCTATTTCCTCAGACTGAGGAACGTACTTTACAGCCTACAGAGTACAGCAGTGGGCCAAGGAACATTCTATTAAATGCACATACCGTGTTGCCTACTATCCTCTGAGTAATGGTCTGATAGAGAACTGGAATGGGCAACTGAAACATCTGCTAAAATGGGGGAGAGCAAGGCATGAGGCATGCAGTTGCTGATTTGCATGTTTTCATGAAGACAGTCCTTTTATGATTGTAGGGGAAATCTGATTTCTCTAGCATGAAGGTGAATGGCTAGAGAAGCCAGAGGTTGGCCTCTGGGTGTCTAATGTTTATCGTTCAGATGTCTTCTATAGACAATGACTAATTACTTATTTTTGCTGAAGTAATTACTGTACTAAAGAAAGAAGATTGGGATGGATACAACCCCACCCTACTAGAGGCTTATATAAGCTCGTGGGACTCAGTGCCAGGAGTCTCTTTCCTTTGGAAAAGCTTGGTCACCTGGGGTATAGTTTCCAGCTGCTCACCGGTCTCTACACCGTCAGTCTAGATCACCCAATGTCACCATCTAGCTGTGCCACAAATGACAATCTACAGGGTCCTGATAAGCTTCTCCAAAACCAACTCACATACTTACCAGTCATACGGGTTGTTTCTCTGACAGGTCTGAGTCTCTGGGAGACCTTCTAGCAAATCTACAGGTCACAGGAGTATTGGGAAACTGAGCCATGCATGGAGCTGTCTGTGTTAGAAATCATGGACACATACAGCTGGTTAAGTATTTGGGACTTGGTTGACCTGAGACTTCTCATAAAAAGGCTGCTATTATTCTCAGCAGGACAAGTTATGGAAACAGCAATAGATAGGGCAGGTTCCAGATCTGCTGTTCTTATGTCAGTATGAGTTGCACTTGACTTGATGGCATTTAAAATACCAACAACATAAGCTAAGAGGAAAAGTTTGGCACTAGCCACCTCTCATAGCCATATAGTCAGAAAGACCTTTATAGCTAACCCTTCAGTGGGTTTTTGGAGTCTGTAAATTGCCTGGGAGGAGACTTCCCTTATTTCTCTTATGGTAAATTTGAACTGTCCTGTCCTTCTTTGAGTTCATAGTATAACTTCTCACTCACTAGGCCACCAAGATTTCCCACCATAAGCTTCCTGCTAATACAAGGGGGGGGGGAACACCAACCCCCCCCATTATGACAAAGTAATTAATTCCCCAGTTTCATAATATCAAGGTTCATCACTACCCTTATGATCAATAATTTGTCTTCTTGTTAATTCCATTAATAATTAAACACAGTGCTAATAAGAATAGGTCATTTATTTGATAGCTGTTTCTAACTATTGACTCATTCTGCTTAAGAATTACAAACATAACACCACTCATTCTAACAAGTGAAATAATTATCATTTGAAATATAAATATATGTAAAAGACATTTCTAACTTCAAATTTGCATAGAAATAAGTGTAAATTTCAAATAACAGCATGTGAACAGCATCTGAAATCAAACAGATTAAGTTTTTATTGGCTTAGGATATTATAATAGCTGAACATAAAATGATGACATAGCTAATCTCACATCTTAATTTCTTTTCATGTGTCCAATCCACACCACGCTGCCAGCAGATTATAAAACGGAGCCAATCTGCATTTGAAAATCTATGGTCAACCAGACCAGCAGGTATTTCCTAAGTAGGAGGTTAAAGATTGGCATCACTGCTTAGCCACCTTCTGTTCTTTTGTGAGATACAGCAAATAAAGGAAAGAAATACAAGGCTAAGAAGAGTTTCTACCAAAAAACATGAATATTATACCAGATTTTATTTTGAAAGAGACAAATTACAAAAAAAAAAGGGGGGGGGAAGCAATAAAAGCAAAGGGATTGTGAAATTGTCCTGGGACCAGCATCCTAATGCAGTTCTCATTATTGAAAACTAACAAGATTTTCATTTCTATGAATGTGATTACTTTGAGAAAGATCAGTGTGTATATGTGTGAATATTCATGAGTTGGGTCAGGTCCATAGTGGATCTGAGAAACTAGTGAATTTATATTCAAAACCATGTTCCAATGAACAGTAAGTGGCCAGTTATATGAAAATTTATATTCACATAGATAACTTGAATTGATACTCACTATTCATGAATATTTATATTAATATACAAAACACCAGAGGAAAAGATAGACATCCTTCTTTTCTTTAAACATTCATGACTTTTATAGTAATATCCTGCCAAACAAATACTGACATTTATTTATGATACAGATAAACTTCATTAATACCCAATCTGTTCTAACTATCTCTTCAATTTCCTTGACTCTTTAATTCACATTGATCAAATGACATCTAATTAACTTGAATAAAACTTTATTTGTGTTTGGAGCTGTTATTTTTCCCCCCTTTGTTTAATCTGGTTGCTTAACAACTACTAAGTATTAATTAGGTTCTGGTGAGTGAATGACACTTATACCTTAAGAAAACAAAATACGTAACATTATTTGGACGCAGGACTGGCATCCACTTCCTAATCAACATGCCTCTGGAAACGATAAACTTTGATAAATGACAATAGTTATAGAGGGCTTCATAGGGTCACTATGAGTCAACGGCAATCAACAACAACAACCTTACTGTGGTGATATATTTTTAAATTCCTAGTTTGCAATTTTCCAACTTATCTTTTCCAGATAAGCTATTACTAAGGTAAGCATAAAGAGCTCTTGAAATTGATTTATTTACAAATGATCAAAGCCTATTGATACTTTTTCATGAACACGCACTTGATTTTAAAGTTCATTAAAAATGTACACATGGTAGACGGCAGGGTGAGAGAATAAAGGTACTTTCATTTGTCATGGTATACTTAATAAAGGATTTTGAGTGCAACCATTACCCTGTAAGTCACAGTATTTACTTGTGTGCCTGGGTTGATAAATAAAATTTCAAAAATTTTATGGAGAGATAAAAATCAGTTTAATGTGTTTGGGAGAAGTTTGGTTGAATCAATCAAAATATGAATCCAAAAAGTCCACCTCAAGAGGTTTGTATTACAAAGAGAGTATGGTTTTCTAGGTGTTCATTGCATAAGTGGAGTAAGACTCATTCATTTGATTATAAACCATCCAAGTCCATTATAACAATAATAAAATAAAAAAGTAATTTTTGTGCTAGGAAATCTATGTCCCACAAAATCACACTGAAAACTGTTTTAAAAAGATAAAAAACACAGCAGATCACAAAAACTATTACTCTAGATTTTCTTGGGCTATTTGACTGTATTTTTCTGACCCTCTATGAGGTGGATTGATTCAGTGACTGGGTTAATTGGGATGGGTGTGTCAGAGGCAATGCAATTGGCACAGGATAGAGCACGGTTTAGAGCTGTTGTACATAGGGCCGCTATGAGTCGCAAGCGACTGGACGGCACATAACAACAAAAACAACATGTTATGAATTACTTGGAAAAGGTGCAAGCAGAGTGTTCCTTGGAGGCAAGGATGGTGAAACGTCTTCTCACATACTTTAAACATTGTTGTTAGGAGAGGCTATTTCCTGGAAAGAGATATCATGTATAGAGAGATAGAGGGTCAAAAAAAGAAAGACAGACCCTCAGTAGGGTGAAGTGCCATGGTTACAGCAGCAGTGAGTTCATAGCACAGAAGATTCACATCTACTGGTCATAGGGTCGCTATGAGCCGTACAATACCTAACCACAATAACAACAAACATTTACTATTTTGGTAATTTTTTGTTACCTTTTCATCCTTGTAAAATGAAATAGTTCCCCTAGAATTACAAACATATGCTTTTGCTATTATGGTATTAGGTTAATTCAAGAGAATGATGCAGAAATTAATCTGAGCAATACATAGAATAAGGAATAATGAGACTAATACAACATATCTGCATTCTAAATGAGTCCATTTCATTTCCTGGATCTGAGGATCTTCTGTCACTTTCATTAGATTGTTACAGCTTTCTCATTAAATTTGTAGGTAGAGTTTATCTAGGAAGAATTCTTTAAATAATTATTCTACTACAGCTAACACAATCCAACAGGCCAGTAAAAAAACTTTCAACTAAGAGGGGTTCATTGTTTTTTTGTTTTGTTTTGTTTTCTATAACAAAGAGTTTATATGATTATGCTAATGCCTTTCTGTATCCCAGCAATCATATTTTATTTCTTATATTTCCCTAACATTGCTGTTGTTGTTGTTGTTGTTGTTATGTGCCGTCGACTTGTTTGCAACTCATAGTGACCCTATATACAACAGCCCTAAACCA